AAGAGACAGGGGCCGGCCTGGGCATCCTCGGGGTGTGCCTGCCCTTGGGTGCAGGCTGAGGGCACCCGCGGGATTCGGCTGCAAGGGAGAGAGAAGGCGCGAACTTAATTTCACTTCGCGGTGAAAAGAGAAAAATCACTTCCACATAGCAAAGTCAAACATAGGTGAAGAAGACTTGATGCAAGCCTATACACATGGGGAAGGTCTGTTGGATTATTTATCAGTGTTTATACTGAGCACACAAACGGTGCTTAAAATGGAAAATTCATAATACCATTTTAAAATCTGTCGGTTGAAAGTGCAATTGGCAATTTGTATGTCAGTTCTCAAGTACAGGTGTATACACTTAATATAGTGAAAGTGTCCCAAAGACAGATATGAAAATAGTGAACCTATTTTTATCCACAGTGCCAGTAATGTGTGCAAGAGGGTGAAGTGTCAATGTCTTATAGCAACCCCCCCCCCAAAACCACAAAAAAAAACCCCAACAAACCAACCAACAAAAACTCCCAAGCACACAGCATCCTAGTACTGCCGAGTTTGAAAGAGAAACACCAAACCTGCAAAGATTCGTGCACTAACTTAACTGGCACACAGGTAATAAGTAGTGCACAAATATGCAAAATTAAGAGCACTCTTTTTCGGTTTGCTTGTTTTCGGGTTTGAACCTCGAAGCTGAATTCTCAGGCCTTTAATTTGGTGATAACCTTGGAACCGGCTTTTGCAGGATTACATGTCTCACACATTTCTTGTCGTGGACGGTGGCTTAATGCATGTGACTATGTTTCCCCTAGTGGTTTGCTCTAACCACTGCATCGGGTTTTTGCCTTTAACCCAAGCAGAATTTTTTTTTTTTTTTTGAGATTAAGGTCTTTATTTGTTCATTCTCAGCATAGGAATGTAGCTGTTGTATATATATTATACGTATAGGGGTGGGTGTGTGTGTGTGTGTGTGTGTGTGTGTGTGTGTTCGTGATATATTAGAGTAGTAGCAATTCTAGTGACTTCAGGTAAAGAGTTAGGCAGAGTGAGGTCTGTGACATGACAGACACTCATCTGAAATACTTGAAACTTCTGCATCATCTGGATGTTGTCCCACAAGATTTTACTTGATTCGATTTTCAGACTCAGGACCTGAAAACAAGTAGTATCTCCCCTTTTGTAAAAGAGAAGGAAGTTCATTCATAAGGAAGTTCTTCTTGCAAGGGAATGAAAGTGCAGTAAATTTGCTGACTTTCAGAACATTTAGTGCATTATCTCATGAGTTAATGTAGTGATATGAGGATATTGATTCTGCACATCCTGAAAGGACTAAGTTGGCTGCACGCTGCTTCTAATGCCCAGTATTTCCTTAGAAACTTAAAGCTTTAATTGATTGTCTTTCATGTTTGTAACTCTGAAAAAGGTAATGTACATAAAAGATAAAAGAATTATAGTATTTTTTAAAAGTGATTAGCTGTAAAGCTTTTTGCCCACCGATACTTCATTGAGATTTTCAGTGCAGGCAAGGACACGTAGATAGATCGTAGAGAGAAACAGAAGTCAAACTGTACTGTAAACAGTTGGACATTTTTTATGAAGAAAATAAGGTCCTGACTCAGTACCATTAGTTTTGCTTTTGTAATTTGCATTTTAGGTTATCTGAAGGAAATCCCAGCATACCTTAAGAGGGGAAAATGAGCAAAGCTACTGCGAACCTGCTGTGGTAGGACAAGGAGCAGCACTGATAAATGTGAAAAATAGAATAAATACCTGCTGCTCTGTCTGGGAATACACATGCTCTACAGCAGCTGCAATTTGGTCTCCTGATTTTAGTGATTCCTAGATCTCCTGGGATTAAACTACTGTTATTCAAATCTAGCTAATGATCACTACCTTCCTTAAAGGTGATATAAGCCAGATCCTGTGTAAATTTATCCCATCTGATGATTGCCCCAGTATATGGAGGGACAGTTGCCAGGAGAGTATTTTCTTGTTGAATACCAAGTATACTTATGTAAACTTAAAAAATAAACAAATCCCTTTCCTGATCCTTCTGAAATTATTCTGAAGAATACATACATTTAGTACTTAGAATATAATGCAGAGCTTTTGCATATAAATTGTTCTAATGAAGCTAGTATGCTCTTTGATGTGCCATTCAATATTATTTGGTTATATTTGTGTCCTTGATAAAATCAGCATTGGTTTTTTTGGAATCCAACTTTATAAGCCTTTCCAGCTTATACAATGCACTTTATAATGAGTTCTCTCTTCTCAAATACTTTGAGACCAAATGTTCGAAAGTGGGACAATTTGGCATGGACAGGACTAAGTGCAGTTTGTTTGCTAAACTGGTATTATAGCAGGCTTTTTATGGTGTGTTTGTTTGTCCTAGAATATTCCTCCTAACATTTTCAACTGCTTTGGTAGAAGTAATCATGAGAATGACAGCACAGACAAGGCATGTCTGTCAGTGTTTGAAATGCTGCACTCTCTAGCCTCATTCAATTAGAGGCTAGGTAACACTGGGCTTGACTATACTAGAATTTTATGCAAAATTAACTGTTTGCCTATTAAAATTTTAGTAAGTGCATGCTAGTTTGGAAATTCCCAAAATACTCTGTAGCAGGATGCAGGCATTTTTGTGTTGATCTGGGATTAAAGTGACTCAGACGAAATGGAAGAGATCAATGTTAGCAGTTACGGGAAACTTGGGAACAAGAAGTTTTTATGAAGAGACTTATCACATCTCTGCTGTGGTTTGCAGCAGTAGTTTTCATATTTCTTCAGTCTGCAGACTTGTTCATGCTTTAGAAGAGATTAAAAAATCATAAAGGTAGTGCAGACTTTTGGAAAAGTATAAGACCTCCCATTTAGAAGTAGTCCATAGGAATCCACATATAGGATTTCCATGGAAGCCACTGATGTAGAGATACCCAAACTAGCTCTAAACTGCAGTGTAGTGGAAAGGTAAATGAATATCTTTGGGTACTGTAAACAATGTAGCTGGAAGAGTGAGGATGCCTGCTCCTCTAGGAATTACAAGGTAGTTTGCATGAACCTCCATGCTATGACAGCTACTCTGCTCCCAGAATGTAAGGTTGTTTTGCTGATTAAGGATACCAATTAAACTCAGACACCAGAGTGAAAAGAGTAGGTGTATTTTACTGGTGATAACCAAATAATGTAACAGTGTAATACAGAAAATAGGCAGTAAGGAAAGGCAGAATAGTGCACCTAAAGCAACAAATAGGAAAATACATGGTAATGCATCAAACCATTACTACCTGAGAGAGAACAGTGATTAAGAAAGCTCCATCACCACTTGCATACGTTCCCATCACCCAGACCCGCAGTGGCAGCCCCGGTTACAGCGAGGGTTTGGAGAGCCTGTCCCGGCAAGGGGGAAATCCTACGCAGTGCCTCCACCCGTAGGTGAGGCTGCCAAAGTCCCTGTGAGCGGGTCCAGCCTTATATACCAGAGATGGACAGGCCAGAATAGCTGGCACCTTTGTTTTGAGCAGAAAATTTCTGGTTTCATTCTCCTGCTGGATTCCACCCAAAGCATGGCCAGGGCTCGGGGGGAGAAACCAAGAGAATTTCTAACAAGGCCAAATACTTGGGTTCTCAGCCTTGAACAAGGCTAAACAAGGGAAGTTGGACACATTCTCTCAGCATTTCGTCCTCACTACTGATTATATTCTAGGCCGCATCTTTCACTAGCGAGCTTACATACTTTGTTAATGATTACAGACTGAGTTAGCAGCTTCAGCTTGGGGCCTGTTGTTCAGGCTTCAGTATTTCAATGCTTTAGCACTTTTTACATCAGCACAAGTGGGTTGTTATAACTTAATACAATACCTACTAGCACAATGGTTATCCGTTATAAAATATACAGGATTCATCTATAGATCAACTCTGGCTTGGGCATGTTGTCCAAGCCTTATAATTTCAAAAGTACATTTCTTCACTGGAAGCTGGAGTTCAGACAAGTATCTCCAAGAAATTAGCAACTGGTAGCATATGGCTTGCTAGCCAGCCAAGGGATGTGTACAAGCAAGACTTACAGATTTTGCTGCAAACCAAAGCAAGCAGATTGAGCAATTGTTAAAAATTGTATCATCTTTCTCCCATGTGCTGAGATTTTGCTTTGCTTAGTTGTGAAAGGCTTGTATTCATCCGAGTGGCACACAAGCACGTCCTGAAAGCAGAGGTGACATGTGCAGAACAGAATTGTTTCCTAGGGATTAATGTATTCTGCACAAAAAGGAAAATAAAAATGGTGTTTCCCTATAATTTGTCTAAAACCAGAACACAACAAAAAATACTGTGTCTATAGCTGTGTCAATCAGAAAAAAAATGTAAAAGACCCTGATCCTGTTGTCAGATCTGCATAGGACTGATGATTTCTTCATTCTCCTCATTATAGGGGCAATATCAATTATAATAATTAAAAAGCTGGATATTCTATCACAGTTTTCTGCACAGATCTCAGTATAGTTTTTGAGATGTTGCTATGTCCATTTCATAGCTGAGAAAACCCAGGGGTGAATGAACGAAGTAACTTATCTGAGAAAAGCAAGAACTAGGAGTCTCAGGTCCCAGTCCCATCTCTCTGCTGTGTACATGTTGCTTGTCATGGAGACCTATGACACTGTATTTCCTTGTGGGCTCCAGGGTCTTTCTGCACAAATAAAATTTCAGGATCTGTATCTAATAGAATCGGAGCACCTTAAAAGGGAATAGGAACTGTTAGATAATTATACTTATCTTACTTAGAGAGGGAAGAGGACAAAATATTTGGTTATCTAAACAAGGTTATCTCTGCAGGAACATCCACTCCCACCACTTGATTAAAGAGTTCCTCTAAACTTCCATCTCTGCATCTGGTGTAGTTACTCCTATCTTATTTGTGGTTTTGTAA